CTTCCATCTTGGTGCTAGTTGCTCTGATCTCATTCATCACTACCAGAAGTTTCTCTTGTTCAGACTTGCACCTTTTATGAGTTTCATCTTCTTGGGCTGGGGTTTTAGTTCTCAAGTTCTCCAGTTCTTCAGTAAGATGACATTTCATTTCCTGTCTCAAGCTTTCTATCTTGGTTTCAACTAAATTCACAGCCTGAATCCTGTCAAGTTCCCTGGTTTTGCAGTTTTCTTGAATGAAATGTTTCATGTTGGCAATCTCAGATTGTAGCTCCATTTTCACTGGTATTAGTATTGGCTTGACAAAAGATTCAATTTCACATTTTTGAACCATCTTTGTGATATCTTCTTGGATTTTCTCCATTGTATTCCCAGTCAGTAGAGAATTCAAGGATCCATACCTTGCTGTTTCGTTCATCGAGATTGACCTTCCTGCTGCTGCTGCTATAGATTTCTCTACAGCTTCTCTATTGTTGAACTTGTCTTTGGCTTTTTCTAGTTCGTGTTCAATACTACGTTGTAGATTTCTCAGAATAGGCATGTCTTGAGGATCAGAAGTGTTAATACTTGCAGCGTCATTCCTCACACATACCAAATCTCCCACTAATTTACTAGGGTTTCTATATTCTGCAGCTCCTATGATGAAATTAAACCAGTTCTTAGCTTGGTGAATCTTTTTCTGCACCAGGATTCTGTCTTGCGGATCAATCTCAGTACTAGATTCAAATATCTCATCATTAACTTGTTCAGAACCTTCATCATCCAATGATAATCTATCAAGGTCATCCTTCATAGTGCATTGGTTATCCCAAATATATCCACTTGGGTCAGTTGTTTCCCCAATTTCCAAAGCATGGGGAAGGGGTGTTGATGTAGGAACTTCCCTATCAGGTCCACGTTGAAGTTTCCTTTGCTCCTCAAAGTAGCTCCATAAACGCTCAATTAGTTCTGCCTTCAGTCCATAAGAAGGGAGACCAACAGTTTTCAATTCATCTCTTAGTGCTGGCACATGGAGAGAACAAACTTCTTCATAAGTGAAGTTATTCATCTTCATATCATACTTTAAAAAGAGTTGCTAAATCCATTTATAATTTTACAACCCCCCAAAATAATAATAATAATAATAATAACAATAACAATAATGATAATAATAATAATAATAATAACAATAACAATAATGATAATAAGGATAGCAATCATTGTAATAATTGTGATAACAATAAGAACAAAGTACACCAAAATGCAACGACAGAATTGCTCGTGTACATTTTGTGCTTAAAGTTATACGGAGAGACTAGAAGGGTTGTTACATGATTTTTTGCAATAATAAACGATAAGTACAAAACCTGATTGCCCATCTCTATGGGGGTTACTTATTAAAAATACATTTCTCATTTTTAGAATATTTTTTTTAAAAAGTATTTTTTTTCTATTATAAAAGCATTTCTTAATCCAATGGTGAGAGATTATATCAGTACAATGAAGACGACTTTCTTCTAGTTTTATTTATATAAATCTGTTTAACATCATGGATACATATAACCATAGAATTCTAGAGAAGCTGTCAATTAAAAAAAGCTTCTTTTTATTTACTTGTAAACTTGTAATTCGAAAAATATTGTTAACAATCAAAACATAAACAAAAAAGTTTTCCTCATTGTATATATATAATCGCCTATTGTATTTCTTATTATAAAAACATTTTTTTGCTATAAAAACATATTATTTCATGAAATCTTTCTTATTATGAAAACAGTTCTGTCATATATCATGTCTTATTTTGGAAACATTTTTAATTTTAAAAAACTTTTCTTATTATGAAAACCTTTTTTGTTATGAAAACATGTCTAATTTTGAAAACATTTCAAACTATGAAAACATTTTTTGCGAAGAAAATGTCTATTGAAAGTATTTCTTATTATAAAAAAACTCTTGATAAAAAACATTTCTTCTTATGAAAACATTGCTTATGAAAAAAAGAAAATTTCTTTTTAAGAAAAGATTTATTATGAAGAAAGCATTTCTTTTAATAAAAAAAATATTTATTCTTTTTATGAAAATATTTTAAATTATGAGAAGATTTCTTGTTATATTAACATTCCTTATTATAAAAACATTTCTTGTTATAAAAAATTGTTTTATTTAAAAACATTTCTTATTATTAATTATTTCTTTTCATGAAAACATATCTTGTTATGAAAACATTGTTTACTATAAAAACAGTTCTTATTATTAATTATTTCTTTATAATTTCTTGTTATGAAAACATTGTTTAATATAAAAACATTTCTTATTATTATCTATTTCTTTTCATGAAAGCATTTCTTGTTATGAAAACATTGTTTACTTATTATAAACGTTTCTAACCATGAAAATATTTCTTGTTATATTTACATTATTTATTATGAAAACATTTCTTATTATAAACGTTTAGAATTAGAAAATTTGAGTTTGTGGCAAAGACTCAATTCCTTTACAGTTTATTTTGCCTTTAAGTACAGTGTAGATATATGTCATCTATGTATTTATCTAATAACGATATAAAAATAATATTATTGATTGAACTTTATAGATCAGCATTATACATACCTTATCATATTATTCTAATGAAGGGAGAATTATTTTTTATTTATTTCTTTTATTATTGATCTACTAGTAGATAATGCTTATTAATTATCAAGCAATTAGTTTCTATGTTTGTTTTTAGAGTTAAAAATAAAAGTAGTTCAAAAGAAGACTTAAAGTAAAAAAAAGAAATGGTTTAAAATGTAAAAGATGACAATGCTGGATTCACATCGGTACCCTTTAAAGGGACTGTAAGCATAATTTCAAGTGACCCTTCATACAAAGATGACAATGCTGGATTCAAAACGGTAACCTTTAAAGGGACTGTAAGCGTAATTTCAAGTAACCCTCCATACAAAGATGAAAATGCTGGATTCACAACAATACCCTTTAAAGAGACTGTAAGCATAATTTCAAGTGACCCTCCATACAAAGATGACAATGCTGGATTCACAACAATACCCTTTAAAGGGACTGTAAGCATAAATTCAAGTGACCCTCCATACAAAGATGACAATGCTGGATTCACAACGGTACCCTTTAAAGCTTTGTCTGACCAAGTCTGAATTATATATCCATGTTTTTGTTTCTTTAAATTGCTTACAAGAAAAAATGGAGAAATAAAAAATTTAAATAATTTTCAAATCATGAAAACAACGTTATCTTCCACATTTCAGATTCATGTTTTATGGTATCATTGTGAATCGGGCATTAACATCTTTGCATGGAGGTCACTTGAAATTACGCTTACAGTCCCTTTTATAATTAATTTAAGGTAATCAAACTTGTTTAATGTTTATCATTTAAAATGATTGACGTTTTTTATTAGTCAGTTTTGTAAAATAAATAAAAATATTATGATTATGACCTTTTCCTAAGAAGCGAAATTGCACAAAGCAGAGTTGCAAAAAAATGGAATAGTGATTTTGCACGAAATGACATTAGCAAAAGAATTAAGCAACAAAATTAATATTGCGTTTCATATTTATTATGAAAACATTTTTTTTTATGAAAACTATTTCTTATTATAAAACATTTCTAAACACAAAAACAATTAAAATTATGAAAACTTTTATTATCGTAATATATTTCTTCTTACTAAAACATTTCTTATTATGATAAAATTTCTTTTTATGATACTATTTCTTATTATGATAATATTTTTTACTTTAATACTATTTCTTTTTATGACAACATTTCTTATTATGATAAAATTTCTTATCATGAAAATATTTCTTATTATGATAATATTTCTTATTACGATAACATTTATTATTATGTTAACATTTCTTATTATGATATCATTTCTTATTAAAATAATAATTCTCATTATGGTTACATTTCTTATTATGATAACATTTTCTATTATGATGATATATCTTAGTATGATAACATTTCTTATTATTTATAATATTTCTTATCATGATAATATTTCTTATCATGATAATATTTCTTATTGTGATATACCATTTCTTATTATGATAACATTTCTTATTATGATAACATTTCTTGTTAGGATAATATTTCTTATTATGATAATATTTCTTACTATGATAACATTTGTTATTATTTTAATATTTCTTATTATGATAACATTTCTTACTATGATAACATTTGTTTTTATGATAATATTTCTTATTTTGATAATAATTCTTACTATGATAATATTTCTTATAATGATAACATTTCTTGTTAGTATAATATTTCTTATTATGATAATATTTCTTACTATGATAACATTTGTTATTATGATAATAATTCTTATTATGATAATATTTCTTACTATGAAAAAATTTGTTTTTATGATAATATTTCTTATTATAATAATATTTCTTATTTTGATAATAATTCTTACTATGATAATATTTCTTATTATGATAACATTCTTGTTAGTATAATATTTCTTATTATGATAATATTTCTTACTATGAAAACATTTGTTATTATGATAATATTTCTTATTATGATAATATTTCTTATTATTGAATAATTTCTTTTTATGGAAACATTTAAATTATAAAATTTTTGTTATTTTGAAAACATTTCTTATTCTGTAAACATGTCAAATCATAAGAATCTTCTTAAAATATTTATCATTGTGAAATAATTTTATAAGTGTACTACATATACTGAACCCCTTATTTATTTGTCTATCGGTGCCTCTGAAAATTCTCACCACATTATTAAAGAAGCATTAAGGTAAAGCTAGCTCATGTTTGCAAAATATTAGCATGTAAAATGAATTTCCTAAAGAGGCCTGACTATTATCCTTTCTTTGGATATTTTTGACTGAAGGTGTATCCCAGCATGACACTATAAGTTATCATGAGGTAACTTCAAAAAATTTTGATGACTTTACCATAAAGATTTTACAGACTTTACCATGAAGATTTTGGTGACATAAAAATAAAGTAATGTAAACATAATTCTCTTTATACCTGAACCATAGTCCCCTTTTATGATACATCTTTGGTTATCTTGAAAGAGGAACTGAGCTTGATCCTTGTTCCAGAACAAAATGCTTTCCTGAGAACCAACTGGTTTTTCTTTCAAGGAAGAGAGTGTAATTGTGGAAGAGGAAGGTCCTGGATCCTCTGACACTCCAACACCTAGATCTGATGTGTTGGATCCTACAAGTTTCCCTTTAGTTTCCTTGACAGGGTCCGAGTGTGTCAGGGAGAGAGAAGCAGCAGATTTTGAACAGTGTGCTGAGGCCATAAACAGTTCTACCAGTGCAAGGTATGTTTTATCAATCTGGAAATTTTGACCTCTGGGCAGTAGTAGGTCTTCCAGGCTTTCTGGCTTTTTTATCTCATGTTGAGTTAAAATGAAGCCCTTGGGATACTTTGCTTTAAATGCTTGATGTCCTCTTACCTAAATGTTTTAATGTATTTAGATTTGTTTTCAATGATAATGATTTAGGAAAAGAATAAATATTTTGGATTGTATTTGTTAGACACTTTTACGTACCCCCCCCCCCCCCCCAACGCACAACTTTATATTGCTAAAAATATTCTGTGTTATTAATAGTTTTTTACCGATATCGTTTACATCTACAATTTCAAAAGTTTTAAAAATATATTATGGACATGTCTATAGTATTAGTTTATTGCTGTTAAAATTTACTTAATATCTTTATCAATTTACTTCTCAGGCAGAAATGGTAGACAAATAGTAAAATACATTTCATAAAATTAGGCATAACACTATAATTTTGAAATGACATATTTTCATTTTTTTTATTTCAATTCTCTGTGTACTTCGAAGGTTCTCTCCTTTCTCAAAGATTTTACAGAACTTTCAAGTAGTTTTTTATGTATAAATTGTTTCTACCTTACTTTGATTTTTAGCATTAGGAAAAGCTGCAACAGGTATAAACTCCCAGTTGATCATGTTTAAACCAGCAGCAGCTAGCACACCTAGTACTTCAGTGTAGCACTTCTCTCCTTTCTCTAGCTGTTCTATAAAACCTCCACCTCCACGTGTTCCTGTTTTGACTTCTACAAGCACATATTTGTGATCACTGAATACATATATAAAGTCAAATTCTTGGCTATCTTCAATTTGATTCTGTTTATTTGTACCAGTAAATAAACGGAACTTCTTGACAGTGTAGTTGTGTAAGAGGGCTGTTCTTGATGTTTTAGGAGTTCTTGTCAAGTACTTATACATTTCATGCTCAGCATTGTCACCAGTTACATTCCCCATGAAGCTCCCAACTTTGTTCTTCTCTCCCAATTCTACAGTTTCACACATCTGTTTTTCTAACTGACCAGAAGGTAAATCAGGGGTTGGGATAGAACAACCACTATACAACCATTCTTCTGGAAATCTGACACTGACTTCTCTAAGATCTGGAAGATATTGCTCAGCAAACCAGTCTGCAGCTTCAGCAGGTGTCCACTCTCTTTTCTCTCCTCCTCCTAGCAGGTATGTATTCTTGCCTTCTTCTTCTTCCATGTTCTCCATCTTGATTTTTCCTAAAATATAAAAGTAATAAACGTTTTCTCTTCTGGGATACTTTTAATGCTGGATAAACTGTATATAATGGGGCACCTGATCTCCCCCTCATTCTAATTCCCTTATATATTTGTTTGATATTTTGAGTGTCTCTTAACAAATTGGTATTCTATAGATGTTAAGTTCCCAGAATCATTTGGGGGAATAAGTGTTGTTTTTGCTTTGACACTTCATCCCTTTTTCATTTTCCTTTCTCACTGAAGTGCAAATTTTTAATTCTGCTGGAAACCTATTTGCAAAATGACAAATTATCGATATTTTAGTAAAGAGGAAATAGGACATGCCAAAATTTATTTTTATCTTGAAAATTTAATATGTTGACTTACTTTACAGTTCACACTTCCAGAATATTGTGAATCCTCCTTTTTCTTGTTTGGTTAAAGAGCTTTCTTGATTTTCTTAATATATTAATTTTATAATTTTTTTTTTAAACTAGAACAGCAACATTTTTGGGATAAACCTTACAGTGTTTAAAATATTGAGATAAATAAAATTTATTGAATTTACTGAACAAAGGACAGTGTGGGGGGGGGGAAGCATTTTAATAATGAAACTTTAGTAGAAAAACCAAGGAGGGCATTGACATTAAATCATATCTTACCTTACTGACAATCCAATAGTCCTGACAATATCAGTAAAAGTCTCTTTACTTCCTTAAACCAAGAAGGGCATTGACATTAAATCATATCTTACCTTACTTGACAATCCAATAGTCCTGACAATATCAGTAAAAGTCTCTTTACTCCCTTAAAAAAGGATGCTTTGATTTTCTTTGAAAATTAGGAAAAAATGATTCTGCCGAAAAGAATTGAGTTCTGGCCACAAAGTATGGTTTTCTAATCCCTATATCTTTGCAATCCAACGTCGTAGACCTTAGATATTTCAAACTATGATTCCTAAATTATCAGTTAATGTAAGTTTGAAATATCAAAGGTTTACGCCATCAATTGCAAAGACTCAATTTCTTTACATTTTTTTCTAGGTTGGAATACTGAAAAAACTATTCTGGGCTTATTTGTTCAAAACATTATTTTCATTAAAAGTACTATAAGTATAAATCAAATGAACCTCCATGCAAATATGGCAATGCCAAATTCACAACGATACCCTTGAAACCTTTATTAAATCAATAATGGGAAAGATATATTGTTGTTGTTTTAGGTTAACATGTGTTTTATGTTTCCTATTTGTTTTCCTGCAGTAGAAATGCGCAAGTCATTTAAGTTGATAAACTACAAAATTGAAAATAATCAGTTTTCAAAATTTTAAAAAATTGATATATAAGACAAAGCTGTTTGGGGTACTGTTGTAAATCCAGCATTGTCATTTTTGCGTGGAGGATCACCTGAAATGTTGCATACCAAAAAAAAACCAGCTTTTTTATAAAGAATGTCATTTACTCACAGAGGAATTAGAACCAATGGAAATTTAAACTGACTCTGACCAAATCAGGCATTGCCATCTTTGCATGAAATTATGCTTACAGTCCCTTTAATCAAAGGTTTTTTAAATTAAATAAAATTAAAATTAATTCTTCTTCAAGTTAAGTTGGAGTGTGAATTAGAATTTACATAAATAAAACAGGATTTTCTGTTTAGTTAATAAATTAAAAATGAACCAGTTTTATAGTTTGTTTAACATCTCCTGTTAACTTCTCACTCTTCAATGTAATTTTGCCCAGCTCTAATTACATCCCTAATCACCTTTAAAGTTCCAAATAAAGGATTTAATCCTAGAATAGGATTTTTATCACTGCTAACCCCAGGACCCTGGTTCACCTAATAGTATATTATTTATATTGATATTGTAGTTTTATGTTTATGTTAAATGAACCTTTGTGTAAAGAGTGGTATATCTGATTCATAATGTTGCCCATTAAACCGTTATCTGAGTAACAATGGGGAAAATATTGTAGTTTTTCTGAAACAGTTTGGAATTTCAGTAATTTTCTTAACATTTCTCTAAACCATAAATGTGCATAAAATCATTTTTATAAAAAACCCCAATTACAAATAATTAACGTTTAACTATCCAAATAAGGATATCTTGTTTATCCTTGTTCACACAAATGTTTAAAGGGGTACCGTTGTAAATCATAAATTCCACTTAAAATATACGTCTACAGTTCCAACAATCTAAAGCTCTGTTTTAAAGACAATAAATTAATGTAAACTTATTTACCTCTAAACTTGCAATTGAAGGATTTAATCCAAGAATAAGATTTGATCCTGCACTGCTCACTGCAGGACCACCTAGTAGGAAAATATTTTTATTTAATAATACAATTTTATTCATATCTTTTTTAACGAGAAGAGAAGGGGAGAGGGAATTTTTAAAAGTTTTTTTTAAAGGATGAAGCCAGTGAATATATTTTTATAAATGCAGGGTCACTTGAAATTATGTCTGTAGTCCCTTTATGGGTAATATTGTGAATACATGTTTATAAATGGAGAGTCACTTGAAATTATGCCTGTATAGTCCCTTTATGGGTAATATTGTGAATACATGTTTATAAATGCAGGTTCACTTGAAATTATGTCTGTAGTTACTTTATGGGTAATATTGTGAATACATGTTTATAAATGGAGGGTCACTTGAAATTATTTCTGCATAGTTACTTTATGGGTAATATTGTGAATACATGTTTATACATGGAGGGTCACTTGAAGTTATGTCTGCAGTTAGGGATGGTAACGTTTTCATTTTTCAGAAAAACGATCGTTTCGTTATGAAAACGACGTAGAAAAATCGAAAACGAAACGATCGTTTTTAAAAACGATCGTTTTTTTTTAAAAGTTCGTTTTTTATATGAAAACAGTTTTTATCATTATCATGAGGTAACTTCAGAAAATTTTAATGACTTTACCATGGAGATTTTACAGACTTTACCATTTTGGTGACATAAAAATATAGTAATGTAAGAATAATTCTCTTTATACCTGACCCATAGTCCCCTTTGATAATACATCTTGGGTTATCTTGAAAGAGGAACTGAGCTTGATCCTTGTTCCAGAACAGAATGCTTTCCTGGGAACCAACTGGTTTTCCTTTCAAGGAAGAATACTGTGAAACCGTGGAAGAGGAAGGTCCTGGATCCTCTGACACTCCAACACCTAGATCTGATGTGTTGGATCCAACAAGTTTCCTTTTAGTTTCCTTGACAGGATCCGAGGGAGTCAGGGAGAGAGAAGCACCTAATTTTGAACAGTGTGCTGAGGCCATCAGCCATTTCACCAGAGTTAGGTATGTTTCATCTATTTCATACTTTGGTCCCTTAGGCAGTAGGTCTTCTAAGCTTCTTGACATTTCATGCTTAGTGATGACCAGGCCATTTGTATTCTGTTTCAGAAAGTTTGGAACTCCGTTAACCTAAAACAAGAATTATTTAAATTTGGTTTATTTCATAGGTATTGATTTATTATCATGTGTGAATATATTCTAAAAAAGGTTTTTCTATCATTTGGCAGATCATGCATAACAAGCTCTGATGAAATATATTTTAAATTTGTTTTATTATTAAATTTGTGTATCTATAATGTATTCTAATTATGTACAACTACTTTACAAGGAAGTAAAGTGGTTAAGTAGCATTTTTATTTCCCGAAAAAGTAGTAGTACACAAATTTATCATCTTTTAAGATGAAAATGTGTGAAATTTTTTTATGAAAACTCAGCAGAACGAGTGGTCATTTTAGATTTGTACTGCTTAGCATTACACTTAAATATTTGGTGCTGGGCTTCCCCCCTCTCTTTACTTTATCCTACAGCATTCAATGTTTGATACAATACAGTAATTTCATTCAGATTCAGACCTTTTCAAACCTTACATTAAAAGTGCAAACAACCCCCCTGCCACAGGGAAAATAGAATGCAACTTGACCCCTCCTCCTTTGAAACTATTCCATTATCAGTGTATTTTTTATAGGCTTAATCCACAAAAAAATTTATTAGTGCAACAGTTTTGTGTTTTTGATGAAAATGCTTTTTTTGCACAAAATTTTGCATCTTTTGCTTATTTTTACACAATAGTTTCGCATGAATACAAAATTTAAGTCACAATTGTTGCATGATTTTAAGCATGAATATAGAAGTAGGTCATACTTTTGCTAAATATTTTGCAANGTATATGAAATAAAATTATAATTTTTGCACAATATTGCAGGGGGGGGGGGCGAGAAAGCTGGGGTATCTGTGTGCTTTTATTGCATGGTTTTATTTCATTCATTTGTTTCATGGAGTTGTTTCTCAAAATTTTACAAACAAACAAAATAGCTGGAATTAACAAAATGCATAATATAATATTATTATCTGCAATTTGCATGCATTATTAGCTTTTGTGCATCAAGCAATGCAGAATTATTTGAAAAGTTGTGAAGTTCTTTCTCAAAATGTAAGATTACCTTTACTCAATTATTTCACGATTTTTGTTCAAAATTTTGATTGGAACAATTAGACATTTAGATTTTTAAGTGTAAAAATCAATACCTGTTTCCGATTTTGAGCATTAGGAAATGCTGCAACTGGTATATACTCCCAGTCCTTGGTGTCTATACCAGTAGCAGCCAGGACTTCATTGTAGAATATTTTTCCCTCTTTAAGCTGATCTGCCCATCCTTTTCCTCCTTTTTGTCCAGCTTTAACTTCAATTGTAAGCCATTTTCTTAGCTCACCAAAGACTAAGACTATATCGAATTCTTGATTCTGATGAGGTTTACCTCTAAACCTTTGGAACATGCTGACGTTATAGTTAACAAAGAGGGCTGTTCTTGATGTTTTAGGAATACCTGTCAAGTACTTATACATTTCATGTTCAGCATTGTCACCAGTTACATTCCCCATGAAGCTGCCAACTTTGTCCTTCTCTTCCACTTCTACAGTTTCATACATCTGTTTAGCTAACTGATCAGGAGGTAAATCAGGGGTTTGGATAGAACAACCACTATACAACCATTCTTCTGGAAATCTGACACTGACTTCGCTAAGATCTGGAAGATATTGCTTAGCAAACCAGTCTGCAGCTTCAGCAGGTGTCCACTCTCCTTTCTCTCCCCCTCCTAGCCGGTATGTACTTGTGCCTTCTGCTTCTCCCATGTTCTCCATCTTGATTTTTCCTAAAATATAAAAGTAATAAAATCTCTCTCTTCTGGGATACTTTTAATGCTGGATAAACTGTATTTAATGGGGCCCCTGCTCTCCCCCTTATTCTAATTCCCTTATATATTTGTTTGATATTTTAAGTGTCTTTTAAAAAATCGTTATTCTCTAGATGTTAAGTTCCCAGAATCATTTAGAGGAATAAGTGTTGTTTTTGCTTTGCCACTTTATCCCTTTTTCATTTTCCTTTCTTACTGCAGTCCAGATCTTGTGCTTTGTTTAATATCAGAATCTTCCTTTTTTCTTAGAAAACCTATATGCTCGCTAAGAGAGAAAGAAAGAAAGAAAGAAAGAAAGAAAGAAAGAAAGAAAGAAAGAAAGAAAGGAAGAAAGAAAGAAAGAAAGAAAGAAAGAAAGAAGAAAGAAAGAAAGAAAGAAAGAAAGAAAGAAAGAAAGAAAGAAAGAAAGAAAGTACTTATGAAACTGAGGCTTTGGAATCACGCGGAAAAAAAAGCTACAAATAAGATAAAATACATCATAAAATCATAAGCAAATTGTGTAAGAATTGTTTGCCACAACTTGCATATTTACTAACACACTAGATGCATAATTCAGTTCAAAAAAGTGATTTTTTTGAAAATTGCACCACAGACAAAAAATGCACGCAAAATAACAGTTTATTAATTCTGCTGGAAAACTATTTGCAAAATGACAAATTATCGATATTTTAGTAAAGAGGAAATAGGACATGCCAAAACTTATTTTTATCTTGAAAATTCAGAATATTGTGAATCCGACTTTTTCT